AAAAAAACAGAAAATTTAAGAGAAAATTAAAATTCAGTTTTTCTTTATATTTTACGATTCCATTTAATTTTTTTCAAAGATGAATGTTTTTCAAAATAATTTATAAAGCAAATGGATAAAAAATATTTGTATAAATAATGACTTAACATTGTTTTGTTCTTGATTTAAATAAGCAAAGAGAATTTTTACTCGAAAGAGATATTTTTTCTTGAACAGTGCTGACCTGTAAAGACAATTCTTTTTCAGGGGCTAGAATTTCAGACAATGTCATTGAAAAATGTGACTAAAATAATATAAATACCGAATGAATACCTGCCTACTGGTAAACTATGCATGTAAGCAAAATTTTAGCATTCTACCTCAATTCGTTCGAAAGATAGTGTGATTAGAAAATACAGACAGACGGACATCGCTAGATCGTCTTAGAATTTTACGCTGATACAGAATATATATACTTTGTAGGGTCTATTATGAATATTTCGAGAAGTTACAAACGGAATGACAAAGCTAATATAACTCCATAATATGGTGGAGGGTATAAAGACACAAAACAGAACAATATTTTGAATAGTTTTTAGAAAACCACGCCTTTCTACAAAAAAGTGAGGTAAAGCCCAACTTTTCATATTTCTAAAGAGATTTAACAATTGCTTTTAAGTGACAAATGATGGCTTTGAAGTGAGGTTATGATCAATAATCTGCGTTCTATATCAGCAAAAAACTCTACATATTACATATGATATTAGAGTCATATGTTATATTGTTTATTTCTAAAAAAAGTGAGGTTAAGACCAACTTTTCATATTTCTAAAGAGATTTAAAAATTGGGTTTAAGTGACAAATGATGGCTTTGGAGTACTGTCAAATCTGCCACAAAAAGAAAATAACCAAAGCTTCTTTAATAGGGTTTGAATATAATTTTTAAAAAGTGAGATTATGATGAAATCTGCGTTCTATAACAGCAAAAACCATTGCATATTACAAATCATGTTAGTTACATGTTATATTGTTAATTTTTATAGCATACTTTCAGGCGCTCACGAAGAATTATGACAGAGCACACACAAAAATGTCGTTTTCTTTTATTAAAGAAAATACCATGGTAGTTAGCTTCTGATAGGCTGAAATATTAAGCTTGACATTTTTATACCCGCTACCATACATAGTATGGAAGATATATTAATTTCGTCATTCCGTTTGTAAATCATCGAAATAATAATTTTAGACCCAACAAAGTATATATATTGTTGATCAGAGTAAAATTTTGAGACGATTCTGAGTCCGTCGGTTGTAATCACGCTACAGTCAAAACGAATTAAGATAGGAAGCTAAAACTTTGCACAGATCTGTCTTTTATCTGCATGCAGGTCAAGTTCGAAGATGGGCTATATTATTCCACGATATCGTATAGCCCCCATATATCGGCACCTTCCGCTATTCGATATTTTTACGATTTTAACAGAATTTTATAATGGATTTTATTTTTTTATTTTTTTGAGAAAATTTCCTAACTCGTACCAAATGGTGGAGGGTGCTCAAAGTTCGGCTCGACCGAACCTACTGCCTTTTTACTTGTAGAATGAAATATTTTTCTTAGTTATTAATTTTACCTTAAAAAAGTGCGGGAACACAACAAATTTGAATCCCTGTCGCCTTCATTAACTGGAAGGGAGTTACAATCACGTTGAAACTTTCCTTTTCATTCCTTGTATCCTAAAAGTATGGATATATGAAATGTCTTATTTTTGGACAACAACTTTAATTGAAGAGAAGAGATCTAATCACACTATATTTCTGCAAGTTTTGCATTCAGTCATTAAGTGCATCTATCAATAGGAAGTTTCGCCATTGTTGACTCAGCAACATTTTTTCTTAGAACCAAAATAAGGACACTGACTTCCAAATGGGAATGTGATGACATGAATTTGAATTAATGAAAATTATGTAAATTTTAATATCAAACTTTGTTGCTGCGACAAATAAAATATTTCGTTTTCTACCACGGGCGTAGTTAAAAAATAATGGCATGTTTCTCTAAGGCAATTGAAAGGCTTCGTTCGCCTCATATTCGAAAGAAATCCAGTTTGGGTAACAGTTACTTCACTTTTTTGCCTTCTATTCGAATTGTAACTACAATCGATAACTCGAAGGTAAGCGTACGCGTTTTGGAAAAAAATTAAAAAAATTGCAAAATCGCATACTATATGAAAGATTTAGAGAAAAACAACCTTGATTTCACATAAGAGGCTTGTAATGTACACAGATTTAAAAACATTTTAGAAATAATTGAAAAAAAAATTATAGAATTCACAATGGAATTCTAATTCCCCCAAAATTCCCGTTTGAAATACCAAATCGTTGAAGACAATCTGCAAAATACCAAAAATTTCTCGTATTCAGCTCTTATCCCTCTTTAACTAATATCAATATCTGATCTTTAAAAATATAAATATTTTTGATCTTGAATTCTTGGCTTTTTTTCTTGTAAACATATTCTCAAATTTTCCTGTTTTTAAAAAATGTTTTTTTCGACAGCATAACATTACGGAAGTAATCTAATTTTGAAAACGAATTATTAAACCTCATTTGTTATAAACATGCAAGGATCTGCTTCTGTATGACGATACGACAAAAAAAAAAACAAACATTCCAAATGAATTTTACAAATATTTTTTGTTCTAAATTCAACAATTTTGAAAACGTATTCGGAATGGTGATTTCGTAAGCATTAAACTTCGTAGCGTCATACAGAAACAGGCCCTTAAAGATGGTATTTGAAAAAACTAAAATTTTTGTTGAATGTCTAACGTTTGTTTTGCATTTTTTAATAAACAACTTATTTCTTCTTCTTTTTTCATTTTGTAGGTTTGGTATACGGTGTTTTTGTTGTTGAAATAATATATGTAAATAATTCACTTTGAGTTTTGTTTCTTCTTTTTTAATATTGAAAAAAAAAATATTTTTGTAATTTTTGTTTTATCTTTTTATTTATTATTAATTAATAACTTAAAGCGATTTATAAATTGTTTTCTTTTATTTTTCATTTAAATGTAAATTTATTTTATATCATAAAATTTATGATTCTCTTATTCCCATACAATTTTGCTATAATTTTTTTGTTTTTATCGGTTTTATGTTTTTGTCATTAATAAATACATAACAGATTTGTTTTAGTATATAATATGTATATATATAAATTGTTTTATTTTATTTTATTTTATTTATATTTCCATTTGTTTTGCCTATTTAGTTGTTTTTTTCCGTTGGATATGATTATTATACAGGGTATGACAAAATGTGGGATATGAAACAAAAATGTATCAAGAAGTGGCTGGTTTTGAATTATGCCTCAAAAGGAATAACAACATTTTTGAAAAATTCCTGAAACGTATTTAATATTTAGGGTTGAGCTCTGGGGCGAATTATAGCTTCCCAACTCTATGATGTTCCAAATATAAGATATGTTTCATAAATTTAAAATGAAGGAGGGTGAACTACTTTCCCAAAGAAAAAATTGAATTCTAATAAACAATTTTTTATTACAATAATAATATCGAAATCCCTAAAATTTGGAAATAAAATGACAGCACATTTGATCTTCAATAGAAAATGAAACTATCTTTATTTCGTAGACAATATTCCAAGACCAAATGAATACCGAAATGCTTTCCATAAAAAGGCCAAAGAATTTCTATAGGAACACCAAATGTTTTTCTAAGAAAAAGGGTGTCTACAAAGAAGCCCACTGGCTCTTCATTAGGAATACCAAATTACCGACCATTAGAGGAGATCAAATTATTTTTCTACTTGACAAAGAGAATTCAGAGCAATTCAACATTTAATTTTAAAAAATTTCTTGAGCCTCCACATTTCGATGTCATTACACACCTTTTGTGATACCCTGTACACAATCATATACACACGTTAAAACAAAAACAAAGAAGAGTGAAAAACAAGTTTGGGGGATAATATAAAACGGGTTGGAGGGGGGAACATGTTCGTTTCGTTTTACCATTTTAGTATTGGTTTTGTTTTTATCATTGTTGTAAGGTTTTGACATTAGGAAAAAGGAGGTGTTTTGTTGTTGTTGTTAGTGCCTTACACATAATTATAAATATTATAAGATTTTGTTTTCATCTTTTGTTTTATTGTTTAAGAGTTACTTTAAACTTAAATAAAAAAATTGATTTTATCATAGAAAATGTTTATTTTTTTATAATTAAATTGTGTGTTTTTTTTTTGTTTTCATCTTTAAGTTAATTTTATTTGTTTATTTTTTTTTAAAGAAAACAAAGACACGCATCATTAAAAAAAAAAAACTTAATAAAAATAAAACAAAAACGTAATAATAATGCTACTATACACAGAGGAAAAGAAAACAAATATATAATTAATTAATTAATATTTAAAAAAAAACATAATTAAATTACAAAAACATGTTTTCAACTTTGCTAATAAGTTTAGGTTTTTTTTTTTTTGTTTGTGTGTTAATTTATTTTTAATTATTTTGTTTTTATTTTCAATATTTTTTCATATAAATAACATGCAGCCATTTTCCCTATATTTTCATCAGGTTTCGTTTAAGAATCCAACGGCATGGCTGGCTGGCTGGCGGCTTGGCTTCTGCTTCTTCTACTTCTTTTCTTATATATCCGGATTTTTTGCTTTGCACTTATGCTAGGTTTTTAGGGTTCTAGTTTCTTCTTCTTTTTTTTATAATTTTCGTATTTCATTATTTTAAACATAAAAAAAATTATTTTCAATTTTTTTTTCATTTTGTTTCTTATAAAAATGCATTTTAATTAATATTTCTTTTTTCACTTTTATTTCAAGTTGTTCTTAAATTCAAAACATACTATCATATCATCATCCTCATCGTTATTTTTGTGTTTTACTTTTTATTTCATTTCGTTTTTCATTTTTTTTTTTTTCACTTAATTAAATTTAAATAAATGCTTACGCTGTGTATGTATGTGTGTGTGTATTTTTCATGTTTGCAGTTGTTTTTTGTTATATACTTAGGTAGGTATATGTACTATGCATGTATGTATATATGTATGTATATATATTTTTTTAGTAAAAAAAGAACAGACTATTGCACCTAAATGTTACGTAGAACGTGTGTATGTGTGTGTATTTGTAATTTCATCAGTTTTCATAATATGCTGCTGCAGTGTTGGTTGGTTGGTTTTGTTGGGTTTCTGGAACAAAAAAATATCTCGTTTTTCTTTTGAACAACCAGGAAATATTATAGTTGGGAGCATGAATGGATGGATGGATAGTTGATTGGTTGTGTTTTTGTTGTTGTTGTTGTTGTATATATAGAGGAAATGGCATTGTTTCCCATTTCGACATTTAGGTTTTCAATTTGTTGTTGTTGTGGTTTTTTATTTTCATTTTGCTGGTATGAAGATGCTCGTGTGTTGACACTTTAAATTAAAAACGTATTTTAGGGTCACCTTGTAGTGCTGCTACCGAAGAAGTCTTCTGTAAATGAAAAAAGTGAGAGAAAATGTAAATAAAAAATAGTTAAATAAAAAAAAAAATAAGGACCTCTCATAAGTGATCAGAATGGGTGCAATTGCGTAGGAATCTTTAAAGAAAACCAGATTTTATTGAAATGGAAGACCTACAGGACATCATCCTGTTTCTCTAAATGAAGACCATTTACGTTCGTTGAAAACATTTAGGGGTTCTCATAGAAAACATCAGGTCAGGTCTTTATATGAAGGACCAAGTCTCCTACATCAAAATATTCAGGTCTTATTATTTAAGTTGGAAAGTAAAACTAAGTACTCTTAAATTTGGGAAAAAGAAGAAGGCCATTGGGCCACTTTGATGAATCCCAGACCATGATTTTTTTCACATTCTAGACGAGGAGGTATTCTCATTTATGACAAGGATTTCTTCTCATAGAACAAGAGGTTTTCTCAATACACAATTTGGACGTCTTACAGAAGACCAGGTGGTTTTTTACTTAAGAACAAGCCCGGAAAACTAGGTCTATTTGATTAAAAGAAAAATAGTCCTCGACGAATCCCTGATCATCATGTCTTTACATCCAGGACGGAGATTTCTCAATGAAGACTAGGATTTAAAACAGGAGGTCTCCTCATTAAACAAAGAGAAATTATCACCAGATGGTCTTTTACGGAAGACCAGGAGGACCGAAGGCATTCTTATAGAACATATTTTTAAAAACTATCAGGAGATCATCTTATAAAGGACCAGGAGGGCTTTAAAAAAAATGGAAGTTATTTTGAAGAAGTCTCACTGATGACCTGAAAATTCATTCCAGAGACACCTCTTATAAAAAACCAGGAGGTCTCATAGAGAGCCAGGAGGTCTATGAGGTTATTCAGTAAATTCATACAGAATTGAGAGTAGAAGATATTTTTAAAAATTATAAGAGGTTAGTTAACCAGATTGACTTTTCTTAATGGGACCAGGAGGACTTTTCATAGAAATTCAGAAGATATTTTCAAGAAAGACTAGAAGGAATTATAATAAAGGAACCGGGGGTTTTCTCACAGAAGATAAGGATATCTTCACAGCGGAGATCACTCTGTCTTCTAAGACCATGATGTATTCTTGTAGAAATTCCGTAGAAGAAAATAAGGTATTCTAATAGGAAATGTGGAAGGCTGCTCAAAGAAGACCAAAAGAAAACAGGACACTTTTAATAGAAAACCAGGAGTGATGTCATAAAAGACTATGACATTTTCATTAAAAGATCCCCTTTTGAAGATCAGTAATTATTTTCATAGAAAACCGAAAAGCTCTTCTTATAGAAGACCAATAGGACTGATGTTTCTTAATGAATACGATTTGTACTTCTCATAGAAAAATCGGATATCATATCATAAAAGACCAGAATGTTATGTAATAGAAGTTCAAGAGGTATTCTTATTGAAGATTCTATTTTTTTTCATAAAATCCCCGGGAGTATTGTCACAGAATACCTGTAAACGATAGACAATAGAAAAACAACAGCACTTGCCTAGCGTATGGTACAGGTCCACATGACTCGTGAAGTTGAAGCTCATCTAAACCTACTCACCTAACTCCCTCGTCGCAATGGGCCCAGTCAATACAGGTCGCATCCTTTTTGAACTTAGAGCTAGAAGCAGAGCCAGATTATAGAAGATATCGGAACAAACATAGCAGTACGAGCTGCTGCAACAACAGAATGCAAGGAGTGTTTAAAGAACAGAACAAACCCAGAATTGTTCTAATAAAAGAGGATAATTCTTCTAATAGAAGAAAAATAGATGAATCATGAAGACCAGACAAGCATCTCATCTCAGGGTTTGGATAGAAGATGTTTCTACTGGAAGCAAAAATAACTTCTCTCATGGAAGATATATAGGGCTCTTCAACAAGAGATCTCAAGCTCCTTAAAAACAAAAAACTCAATAAGGTCTTCTATTAAAACAACTAAGGCCTTACTTAAGAATACAAAAGGAAACCGCTTTTAACGGGAGGATTTTGGATCATTCTCCAAAAAAATTTCTTCTAGAAGGCCAGACAGGCTAATATAAGAGGAAAATTATTATTTTCTATAGAGAACCTTTAAGGAATCTTAAGAAAACCTTTAGAAGGTAGGTAGTGCTTCATTTGGATGATATAACGCACTCTTCAAGAACATACCTGCTGCTTCGTAAATAGAAATAGAGTTAAGGCTTAATTAAGAATACAAATGGAAACACCTTTCCATCGAAGGATTTCCAACCATCTTCTCAAATCTTGGTATAGATGACCAGTGTGCGCAGTATATAATATCAGAAGGGGATCTATTAAGATCATTGCATAACTTCTTCTTGATGGCCGAAAAAGCCGATTAAAGATCATTATAATCTTAAGAAAACGTTTTGAAGCTGGGTGGGTAGTGCATCATATGAAAAATATTTAGGGGTCTTTAAAGGTAGACAGGGATTTTATCAGACAAGTAAAGGTTTTACATTGTTTTACAAATGGAAACTTATTTTTTGAAGGATTTTAGGTCATCTTCTAAAATGCTTTCGGACTTAATATAGACGGCAAGTGAGCCCATTATATAATGTCACATGAGGCTCCTACTCGATGCTTGTGGAACTTCTTTAGAAAGCCAAAGGCGTTAATTAAAGAAATATCATGGTAATTTTCTATAGAAAACCTCCATGGAACAGTTTTGTTTACAGAACCTTTAGGGATTTTTAAGTTTCTCTAATTCGTGGTTATTTTAGTAGCAGCTCAACGGTTGCATAGAGTTTGAAGAGTTCCTTCTAAAAGGTTCAAGGCGTTAATGAAAGAATATCATTCTAATTTCTATGTAAAACTTAAATGTTGTTACAGTGTGGAATTTGGATGCTATCAGGTTGAACACCCGAACATTGTGGGGACCAATTGATAAATTTATTTGTGTTACTCATATTTCCAATTTCAATATAACTTACGTGTATCAAAACTAAAGCTCATCGTTGGATCCGGTGATGAGTGTAGCATTGATGCAACACCACCACTTGTACTACTGCTGCCTACAACACCGGAACTATTGGTTGAACCATTTCCACTACTTGGTGTCTGGGGCTGTTGCTGCTGCTGTTGTTGTTGGGTCATGGCCATAGGATTTGTATGGTTTGTACCGTGCTGCTGCATCGATCCGGGAACACCAACGCCGCCTTGCGGTGTCTGGGCGCCCAATGGACTTTGAGGTGTGCCAACACGTAAACCACCAGGTATACCGCCACCCGGATTACCACTGTTACCACCACCGCCGGGCACACCATTAACTCCACCAGAATTTGCCGCAGCAGCTGCACGACCACTGACCACAGCGCGCAATTCTTGCTTAACATAATCTGAAGAGGCGGGATTACCAGCTGTAAAAAGAAAGAAGCGAGAAAAATAGATTTAATTAAATAAAAAAACATAAATTTGTGGCTGTTTAAGTTTCTATTAAGCTATGTATTTATATGGATTTGCCTACTTCTTTGGGTTTATTATTTTTATTATTTACACATAGGGGGGAGCAGAAGACCAACACACAACAGTAACGGCAAATATTGTTTTGATTATTTGGATGTGGTTTGGTGGTATGGAGGATGATGAGGTGGTAAATCTTTTTTTTTAATTTTTGGAAATATTATTGGATCACATTTGAGGATTCAATTCTCGTTTAGGTTCTTAAGAATACAGCATTTACAAGTTTTGGAGATTGTTTTAATTGTTCGTATGTATTATTAGATACTTGGGTGCCTTTTTAGGTGATTTGATGTAGGTGTAAGTGTGTTATACATAGAATGGATTATAATACACATAAGGGATTTTTTTTGTGGGGATAACAAACTAATAAATCTATTTAAATTACTTTTTTAAATAATTTTGTACAGGTATGGTATTGGAACCTTTTTTGACTTATCTACAAATTTTCGACACTATTATATTTCCAAATCTTATATCCAATTAATTTAATTTTATGTAGTTCTGCCTTTGGAGAATGAACAGAGATTGTTAAAAAAATGCCAAAACGGCTAAAAATAGAAGGCTAAACTTTGGTTAAGAGACTTGTGGAACTTCTTTAAGACGGCCAAATAGCTCTGTTTGGCCTTTAATGTATTCCCAGAAAATTTAAATATTTCTAAGGAATTTACTCCTAAGACTGAGGGATACAAAAAAAGTATTTTCAAAAAAGGCCACGAAAAAAATTGAATAATTTAACAGTTTTAAAAAATTTCAAATTCACAATGGTCCTAAAAATCAGTTGGGCCATATACAATTATATCCAAAAAATATAATTGGTCTCTGAAACAAAATATTCCCAAAAAAACACTTTGACATTAAAAATACACATGTAAAAGAGCTATGAGTTCGGCCGGGCCGAACTTTGTATATCCTTCACCATTTAGAACGAATTTGGCAATTTTCAAAAAAAAAAAAAAAAATCCGTTAAAATTTCTGTTAAAATCTTAAACATAGCGAATGTAGCCGTTATATTTGGGCCTAAAGGACGGCGTGGACCAGCATAGGCAATATTCAAATGCGAAACTTGAATTCGGTGAATAATGTTTCTAACATAATCAAAATACCGAACATCGGGAGGTGCCGTTATATGGATGCTATACGAAGGCGTGGACCTGCACAGACAGTTTTCTGTCATAGGCTGCAGTATCCATTACGAACTTCAAATACCAAATTTGAAACAATTCCGGTGAATAATGTCACTAAAATCATCAAAATACCGAATATCGGGAGGTGTCGTTATATGGGGGCTATACAAAGGCGTGGACCTGCACGGACAATTTTCTGTGATAGGCTGTAGTATCCATTACGAACTTCAAATATCAAATTTGAAACAATTCCGGTGAATAATGTCGCTAAAATCATCAAAAAGTCGAAAATAGGGAGACACCGTTATATGGGGGCTATACGAAGGCGTGGACCTGCACGAACAATTTTCTGTCATAGGCAGTATCCATTACGAACTTCAAATACCAAATTTGAAACAATTCAGGTGAATAATGTCGCTTAAAGTACCAAAAAACCGAAAATAGAGAGGTATCGTTATATGGGGGCTATACGAAGGCGTGGACCTGCACGGACAATTTTCCGTCATAGGCTGCAGTATCCATTACGAACTTCAAATACCAAATTTGAAACAATTCCGGTGAATAATGTCGCTAAAATCATCAAAAAGTCGAAAATAGGGAGACACCGTTATATGGGGGCTATACGAAGGCGTGGACCTGCACAGACAATTTTCTGCAATAGGCTGCAGAATCCATTACGAACATCAAATACCAAATTTGAAACAATTCCAGTGAAAATTGTCGCTAACATCATCAAAATACTGAATATCGGGAAGTGCCCTTATATGGGGGCTATACGAAGGCATGGACCTGCACGGAAAATTTTCTGTCATAGGCTGCAGTATCCATTACGAACTTCAAATACCAAATTTGAAACATTTCCGGTGAATAATGTCGCTAAAATCATCAAAATACTGAATATCGGGAAGTGACGTTATGTGGGGGCTATACGAAAGCATGGACCTGCACGAAAATTTTCTGTGATAGGCTGCAGTATCCATTACGAACCTTAAATACCAAATTTGAAATAATTCCGGTGAATAAAGTCGCTAAAATCACCAAAATACCAAAAAAGGGAGGCATCATCATATGGGGGCTATACCAAAACGTGGACCTACATGGTCCATTCTCAATACCAAAAGTCCTGCAGACATAAAATACATTTGAGTAAAATTTTATCAACCTATTTCAATATCGTTCGGAAGCTAGAGTGATTTCCGATTCCCACAGACGGACGGACATTCGCTAAATCGACATGGAATTTTATGCAAACCGAATAACAAACTTAATATACCCTCCATATTATGTTGGAGGGTATAAAAATAAGGTTTAGCTGAGCATGTGCGGTTGGCTATTTAAAATAAAATATTCGCTCACAATGAAAAAGTAATCTAAAAAATCTCTGTATGAGTTTTTTCACTCTCTAGAACCTAAGGCACTATCCTGCACATAAAGAAGTCCACTACCAAGTACAGATCCTAAAACGTCTACAACTCTTTGTCGGCATGTCAAATTTATGATTTCCATATATATTTTATCCAATAGTTTTTTTGGGGGATATACATGTATTTTTATATACGGGTGTTGTTGTTTGGTTTTTGGAGGGGGGTGGGTAAGAGCAATAGTAGTGGTAATGGATGATATTTGTTTTTGTTGGTAATTACAAAAAGGTTACACACTGTTTGTACTCCTCTTACCGGTCGTCTGATTGGATCGACCATAGAAGTCATTGGTTGAAGGCGCTGCTGATGACAAGGTAGCATTGGATGATGAGTTCTGTTGGTGTGATATTGTTTGGCTATTGTTGTTGTTGTTGTTATTGTTAGTAGACGATGAATGATGGTTATTAAACATTAAACTGATGCCATTGGTTCCTACTACGACTCCACCTCCTCCACCGACATCTGGTCCATTATCACCACCACCACTACCACCATTGGCCGTTAGGAAACCATTCATATTGGCATGATTGGCTGAGGCCGCCGTTAAACCATTTAATAGATCGACAACAGCTGATCCCATAGCATTATCCGGACCAGTGTTACTATTCGCAATGGAATTCGGATGTGTATGGTGTGTGTTATGATGATGATGTTGATGACGATTTGGCTGCTGGTGTGTATGTTGTTGCTGATGATGCAGGTGGTGATGGTTATGGTGGTGTTGTTGCGATTGCTGCTGCTGTTGTTGTTGTTGATGATGGTGGTGGTGTTGTTGTTGTTGTGATTGGTGACGGTTATTATTATTGCTGTTGCTGTTGTGGCTATGACTGTTGTGGTGATTGCCAAATGATCGCGGCGATCCTAAATTGATTTAGGTTGTTTTATGTTTGTAGTGATTTTGTTTTTATATTTGGGGATTAGTTGTTTGAAAGCATTAATAAGCAATGGGGAAAATATGATATAAGGAAATTCTAACAGATCTTGTAATAAAGAAATGTTTGGCTAATTGCTTTCACAATCATAATTTTGATTCCACTAAGTAAAACGGTTAAATTAAATATGTCTGAGAAGAATGACGATCTGAGTACTTTTTTCGAAATAAATAAAAATCAGGCATTTGAAAAAATAACACTCAAGGAATGGTTGTTGTTTTGTAAACTTGAATTTTCAATCGTCGTACAAAAACAATCCCTAAATATGTAATACATTTCTGGCACGCAACCTGATTTATGAACTTCGATCTTAATTTATGAACTTAGGAAGTAACATATGAAGTATCCAAAATAACACAAATCAAATATGGGTCAAATGTGTCTACATGGCAACACTTTCAGGGCAATGAATTCTGGACTGGTTTTCCAGTTGTTTTTTTTCGATTCGAATTTTCACATAATTGAAACCCCATATCCAATCGTATTCGTATTTCGAATTTATCTAACAACTGATGGAGGAACTCATCTCCCCCCCGAAATCCTAAACTTAAAGGATCACATTGTAAATTATTCTCTCTCTCACTCATCTTACCTGGCAAATGTTGAGTTGCTTGCGGTATGCTACTTTGCCGTTGCATACGTTGCATTTGTTGTTGCTGGTTTTGTTGTTGTTGTTGGAATGCATTGCCAGCTGCAAAAGGTGATTGGGGTGATGGGGAATTTGGTGTCGGCGTAAAACCACTATCGTTTGTCTGAAATGAATTCTGGCGCTGGAGACCAGCGGCAGCAGCTGCAGCATTTGGACCCTGAGGTCCGCCAATAATACCCGGACCCGAAGGACCTTGAGGTCCAGTGCCACTGGGTGAATTTAAGCCTCGTCCTCGTTGTTGTTGTTGATATTGTCTAGCATTGTAAGGACTAACTCCCTATAACAAAAACGAGACATTTTCAAAAAATATTTTCCACACCTCACAAAACGCCACTCAATCTAACCTGTAATTGTGCACTTAACATTGGATTATGCTGTTGTAATGAATGCCCTCTTTGTGGTCCAGCATTAGGTCCACCGCCCCATTGCTGGGGTGAGGAATTGGGTCCCAAGCCCGGTGAGGGTATACCAGCACTACCGGGGGTATTGGGGCCACCTGGCTGGCCAAAATGTGGTTGCCTGGGTGAGAGCTGAGCTGCTGGATTTCCTGCCTGGAAAGCAGCCATTTGTTGTTGCTGCTGTTGTTGTTGCGGTGACAAGCGTTGGCCGGCAGTTTGTGGATATTGGGGACCATAGCCTAAAAGTATGCAATGGCATCCAATAAAAAACGTATATCTTCAATGCTTAAATAACGAAAACCTACCTGGATTAGATTGTGGACTAAAGGGTGCATTGCGTTGACCCGGACTTAACTGTTGCTGCAACATTAATTGTGAGTCGGGTGGCAAATTTGTGCGTGATAATGTGACATTGGGTGCCACGGTATTGAGCAAGGTACTTATATTGTTGAGACCAGGATTGAGACCTATAAAAATGTCAATCATTAATTACGTTTTAATCTTTAGGCTTTCTCTTCGATTACTTACACAGCTGATCACGGGCTGTGGCATTTTCCGGCACACGCATCAACTGGTTTTGTTGTTGCTGCAGTAAACGTTCTTTCTGTTGTTGCGCCAACAAACGATCTTTCTGATGAGCCAGTATCTGTTGCTGCTGTTGACCCATTTGCTGTTGGGTCATGTTACGAAAGTGTGACTGCGACAGTGCCGCCATTACACCGCTCGGCGTTGAGACAGCGTTCATGTGACCAGCACGCCCACTTGCTGGATAATTTGGTGGAGCTTTTTGCATATTCTGATTGGGTCGCATATTTTGTAACGCTTGCATTCGCATTATCTGTTGGGGCGTTAAGTTGCCCGCACCACCGCCCATACCTGGATATGCAGGAGGTTGTAGTTGTGTATGATGCTGTTGCATCTGTTGTTGGTGCTGCTGCGATTGTTGTTGCTGCTGTTGCTGTTGCAACATTTGTTGTGCAGTCATACCCATGGGACCCATACGAAAAGCCGATGTCTCGCTCATTAACGATTTCTGGATTTCGCTAATGGCCAATTGATCGTTGATCTGTTGCGGTGTAAGACCTGTCGGCTGGTCATCAGGCACATAGTCCATAACACTGTCCAGTATTTTGGATAGTTCCTGATCACCATCACCCAAGATACCCGATGTGGAGGAGGAGCTGAGGGAGGATGTGGAAGAGGAGGTACCCGTTGTTGCACTTGAATTTGAGGTAGCTGTTGTTGAAGGAGCTGTTGTGCTAAGAGGTGGGGTGGCAAACGGATGATCTCCCGTTGTAGATGACGATGAGAAGTCCATTTGACTGCCCTGCTGCTGAGGATGAGATTGTGGTAGTCGTTGTAAATTCGAACCTACCGCCGAGGATTCCAGACCCTGTCGCTGCTGCTGCTGTTGTTGATTGAGGTAGACATCGGAAGGCTGTTGTTGTTGCGACGGTTTTTGTTGCTGCGCCAAACCTCTTCCTCGTCCCGGACCACCTGGACCAATCATACTGCCACTATTGGCCATCGTTGTTATGGTTGAAGCCTTTCCGGGCATTAGACCCATGGTTGTGCCACCGCCCATTGATGAGACAATATTGCCCGGGCCCCTGGTGGGCACCTTGTCCGGAATTGTTTTTATAACAGGCGTAATATTCATGGTAATATTCTTTGGCGGATTACTTAGCAGTCGGGCAAGCATTTTATTTCTTTCACACAACTTTGAAGGGCGATCGTCCGATCTTTTGGCCGAAAGACCATCATCGGGGTCGTTAAGGGATCGCTTGCGTGTCATAGCCGGATCACCTTGATGCTTCAAAATTCGACACAATTCTTCGGTGGTTAAATTATTGGGATTTTGATGGGAACCATGCGGCTCATCCTTTATGCGTACCATGTCGCTGGAACGGCCCATAGACGAAATGCCTTTGTTGTTTTCATCGTCTTCGGATTTGAGAAGCTGTTAATGAAGAAACCAATGTCAATGTAAGTAATTTAAGAAAATTTACACTTCCACTTACCGATAGCAACATGGGATTACTGGAATTTGCTTGTTTCTGCATGCCACTCATGCTGAACATGCGCTGCATACCGCCTCCAGGACCAGAACCAGGGCCCATTTTAAACATACCACCTAAGCTCGCCTGCAGACCCTCCTTGTCATCCTCTTGCTTATAGAGCTGAAAATAGATTCGAAAGATATTTTAGAAAAGGACTCACAATTATTCGCATAAACATTTCCCCAAAATTCACATTAATGGATTGATGGCCCGCCTATGCAAATTTCACACCTTTACTTACTTCTTTCTTCCTTACCTTCAACAAATTATCTTTGTCATCTCCATCGCTGCCATGCATTGACGATGAATGCGTTTTATTGGTAAGTAAATGTCTTAAACGTTCCGATTCTGTGGGAGGGTTTTGAGGTTGTTGGCTTTGTTGTTGCTGCTGCTGCTGTTGTTGTTGAGACCCACTCATACCACCAGAATTGCCACCAACAACACCACCCATCATTAGGGGATTGGTACCACCATTGCCACCGTTTGGTAAATTTCCTGGCATACCAGACATGTTGTTATTGCTACCACTATTGTTGTTGTTATTATTATTCATAGGATCCTTATCCATTTTATCACTACTACTATCGAAGGAATGAAAACCAAAATTGCCAAAAGGATTTCCGCCACCACTGCTACCACCGCCGCCACCGACACCCGATTGACTTGCATTCGATTGTGGAGAGGGCAAACTAGCCGCCGAATGAGATGACAATTGATACGGCGTTGAGGGCGATGGACAAATAGCTGGACTATAACCATGACCAGCCGACGGCGGTCTTGGTGTACTGACGGGTGTTGTTACCGAAGCCCGTGAGTTCGGTCTTGAATCATTCCAGGCCTCGAATGAAGAAGATCTTAAGTCAAAATCAAATTCGTTACTATAAAACGATGGCGGTTCGTGGCCGGCCGGAGAGGCGGGAAACGAGTTCACCATTGATGAGTTGTTGGAGACAATGCCCGAGGTAGTAGCTGTTGTGGAAGATGATCTTTGTACAGAACCCAAGCCGCTGGCAATATTGTTTCCTGCACTGCCAACCCCGCTGCCGGTGCCATTAATAACTGCCGATGTCATCAAGGGTCCGCCCACACTTATTGTCTGTGTCGAATGCTGCTGCTGTTGCGGTGGCATACCACCGCCACCACCACCTACTAAACCACCCAAACCTGAGACATTCACCAAAGTCGATGACATCGAATTTGTATTCACCAAGGAATCCATTGATAGGCTGGAAACTAAAGATGATACCAATGAACCGGTTGTAAGTAGTCCTCCACTGTTGCCACTCAGCATACTGGTGCTATTGCTGTTCATATCGTTCTCGGCATTTAGCAGCGTGTGTACCGACATAATAAAATCACTCTCACCCGGCGTATGGTTAAGGAACAATCTCGAATTGGCCTTGACATGAACATAGACATCGGGTGTCCCCAGACAAAGGCGAAATGGTTTCGATATATGATTTGATATGGGCGGGTTAATTGATACCACACTGCTGCCTGGCGATTGTGAGGCATTGATCGCATTTACCCCGGCCGCTGAATTTTGGACATCACAGAGATGTGTCTTTAAAGCTGATAAATCCTGAGGATGACACAGATCCTGCAGCAAACGTCCCACCCATTGGGTTAAATGCTTTTTGTAGGGTTCACGCAAGCTTGTGGCATCGAGGGTAATAATTTTGCCATGTATGTCTAGTTTGAAGGTAACCTGTTCAATGGTTGGATGCTGGACATGTTGTTGTATGTTCATTTCCAAAGGCGATTCGTCCTCAGGTCGGGTAATTAAACATAAAACAGAAGAGGCAGAATCAGCATCGTCTGGAATGGAAGAAGAAAGTTATGAATAAAGAAATATGGAGTACAATGATTTATTGAACTCACCTTTAACGGGCGCTGCTATTAAAACAACTTCTTCGAATTTCGATTTTTGGTCCATAGAATTACTATCTGTGTTATTTGTGGTCGTTGTGGTTGTTGATGACGATGATGAAGACGACGAAGAACCTGAGGTTTGGGTTGCCGAACGTGTATCTTTGACTAACATTCGGACTTTTGTCGAAATGCTACGTTTCGATTTGCCTCCAACAATGCCACCTACACCTCCACCGCCACCACCATTGTGATCATCAACATCACCTAGACCCCAACCTGAGTTTAGATCGTGTTTGCCACTGCCGGCACTGTTGGGACCATTACCGCCAATACCAACACCTCCGCCCAGACCTCCTACTCCTCCCGAAAGGGTCGATGACATATTATTTATAATGGGATCCAATTTGGCATAATCGCCCGCATGCAGGTACTCATACAAGGGTCTACGATATAATTCTTGTTTTTCATAACCAATTAATTCTTTGATATTTTGTGTACAGGACTCGATAATGCCTTCGGCATTAACCTGCAGCAAAACCCAGCCGACCGAAGAGATGTAATGTTCTAAAGCTTCAAAATAGGCCGATATTTCTGGCACTTGTCCATTTAGCAGTGATGGTTCGGGCAGTGGCGGTTCGGTTGATGAGACTTCACCCTGTTGTACCGGATGTATGGAACAATTGTCGGTGGCACAACGACTGCAACGTGTTGAGGTTGTTTGGTTGTTGTTGTTATTATTACTACTGCTGTTGTTGTTGTTCGTACTAGTTGCATTGGTTGGATTCGTAGAAGACAACGTCGACGATGTTGTTGCTGTTGTGGCTGATGTTGTGTTAGCTGGTGTTGAGGAGGATATATCACGACTTTGGCCTTTGTCACAAATATCACGATACTGAAATGAGAGGAAGGGGGAAAGAAATAAATATTTAATTTTGTAAAAGGTATTCTACGAGGATCTGGATTTAAATAGTCCAAAAAAAGGGATCAATCACAAAAAAGTTGTCTATGTTTCGCCCAAGGTCTAGGCTTTTAAACTTTTCATACCAAATTTTTTTACGTCCATGGATCGCCTAAATAGGAAAACTATGAATTTTTTGAGTTTGGAGATATCGATCACAATTTACAACAAAATCAGATGTAATTTGACATTTCAGGTTGTCTTTAGGAATATTTCACACTTCACATAAGATCTCTATCTCTTCCATATTTTCTCACCAAATCAGCTGTAACTTTACATTTCGGGCTCTCAGCGGTATTTTCAATGAAGGTCCACTTTTTTGCATAACCCATACATACCGATACCTTTTAGGTTTCCGATATTTTGAATGTCTGTAATTTGACATTTTTGGTTTCCAGTGGGTACACTAAAGCCTCGCAGAAGATATCAATGGAAGTCTGCTTTTTTGTATAGCCCTTATATTAGGGTGCTTCCTAATTTTTGGATTTTACAGGCCTCGACCCTATTTTGTTTTTTTTTTTTTTTTTTCATTCAAATCATTTGCAAATTTGATATTCCGGCTTCCTTGTGGTTAGATTAACTCCTCTCACAAATATTCAACACAGGCATAGCCACCATATTATGGAGCTTCTAAATATTGGGGGACTTCACGGATCTGTCAAGTTTCCACACGGGGGATGGTATAAAATGTTAGCTAACTTATTTTTAATTTAGTTTTTTTCACTTTACCTTGGCATTCGCCAAAATGGAAACCGATTGACTATGCAGTAGCAGGTTAGTACTACACCACCAGCAGAGCCCACTTTAACCCCGCAAAAGCAAAGAAAGAAGCGAAAGAAAAAATCTTTGATTCTTTACCTTTTCAATTGGCGATCGACGATTAAAACGTCATTTCTTTTGTTTTTATTTTAGCCACTCATCCTATTTCTTCTTCCTATTTGTTGTGACGCCGCCGTCAAATGCCTAACAAAACACAACAAAATACTATGGTTATTTTATTTTACACTTGCCGTGGTGGATGCCAACTCTGATAAATTTGTTTTTGTTGTCGTCGTCGTCTTCGTCGTCGCCTGTTGTTACTTTTTAAGCTCTGCTTTACAAAACTGTCAGTTATTAGTATTGTTTTTGTTATTGGTGTTGCTTGTATGTTGCTTCTTCCCTGTTTATTTTTTCTTTATTTTGAGAATTTCATAATAAAACAAAAGTGGTGTCAAAATGATTTCACAATTTATTAAGAAACACCGGAGTTAAAGAGCATTATTAAATGTGAAGAACAATGAGAGAGAGAGAGAAGCAACGGCGAAAAAACCCCACAAGACTCCACAGCACTAATTGCATCTCTGAGAGTGGATTGAATGTGATGATGAGAGTACTACAGTTGTAGTGTGAGGCAATGTAAAAACAAAAACAAAAAATATGCAAAACCGCCAAAATTTTTGTGCTTTTTTTGCAAACTGTCACTCAAATGACAATTAAACAAATACTAAGAAATTTGTTATATTATTTTAATAAAACACCACAAACAAAACAACAAATTCGCCAAGCTCTATAATTGGCAATACACAAAAGAAGTGTATATTGGGGTGGAATGTTTGCAGAAGTCAATTGGATTAAAAATAACTGAATAGGAATCTATTTGGAAAATGGATTTAAGAAGGCAATGCACAGTAAGACTATGAAAATAAGAGGAAAGTTAAATCTTTTACAACGGAAAAATAACAATTTTATATGTCTTGTGTTTTTTTCTTAAGGAATAATGCAATTTTGGAACATTATCATATGTTTACTACATAATAAAGAGGAAGATTTGCCATATTATGGAACTTCTAGATGATATGCCTCATGGGGGATGGTTTAAAATGTTAGCTAACTTATTTTTAATTTAGTTTATTAACTTTACCTTGGCATTCGCCAAAATGGAAATGGAATGAGAGACAATATCAGCAAATGGCCGCTACGTTAACAGAAGTCAATTGGATTAAATTCTGAATATTTAATTGGAATTAGATAAGAGGAAAGGTAAATGGACATAAAATCTCCTACAAAATGTGAAACTATACATTTCATTATCAGTTTTTGTTTAAAGGAAGTTTAAGAAGCATGACGGCAAGAAGTCAAATAAAGGTGGGAAGCCATTTGCGGTTTGGCTATCCACAATTCCATAAATAATTTCCTTATACTTTCCTGTAATGTAAGAATACATAAAACGCTTTTTTGACTGGCTTAAGTAAAATAAGGTCCAATGATACACAGTCTGATGGTTGGTCAGGGCGCAGGATTGGCAAAAGGCCCAAATGCAACCGATCGATCCACAAATGCGGAAAGTGTTCGGTTGGAAATAAGTAAATGTAAATTATTTTTATACCCTCCACCATAGTATGGGGGGTAAGTTAAGTTTGTCATTCCGTTTGTAACACCTCGAAATATACATTTTAGACTCCACAAAGTATATATTCTTGATCAGCATAAAATTCTATGTCGATTTAGGGATGTTCGTCCGTCTATCCGTCGGTGGAAATCACTCTAGCCACCGAACGGAATGAAGTAGATTGATAAAAATTTACTCAAATGTATATATTGGTATTGAAAATGGGCCATGTAGGTCCACATTTTGGTATAGCCCCCATATAGCGGTATCTTCCGATATTCGGTATTTTGATGATTTTAGCGACATTATTCAACGAAATTGAGTCAAATTCCATATTTGAATATCGTAATGGGTCCTACAACATATGATGGAAAATTGTCTATGCAGGTCCACGTGTTAGTATAGTCCCCATACAACGGTACCTCCCTTTATTCGGTGTTTCGGTATGCTATTAACGACATTATTCTCCGGAATTGTTTCCAATTTTGTATTTGAAGTTCGGAAACATCACTGTAGCCTATGGCATCCACGTCTTCGTATAGCCTCCAAATAAAGGTTTGAGCGGTATTTTTCGATGGATTTTTTTTTTTTCATTTTCAAGATCCTTCCGAGTGGTGGAGGGTATATAAAGTTCGGCCCGGCCCAATTTACCTTTTTTTTACTTGTTCTTTTTGGTTTTGGGCAAATCACAAGACGCATCTTAAAGCGAAATTGCGAAGGAATACCGTTAATTTTTCGGGCATTTGAAGGAAAGAAGGACCTGCATTATCTATAGATGAAGGTCCAAGGACATAAGAGATAGTCTCTACATAAAGAAGTCAGCCGGTTTGAATAGCATTCATACTGATTTTGTTAATCATTAAAATGAGTTCACTCCCCCATGCATTATAGCTGCAGAACTTCGACTGCCTACAAAAAGTAGGTCCTACGATATAAGAGATAATTTGTATATCAAGAACGATATTAGATATAGTCTCTTAATTAAGAATTCAGCAGGAGGAATCCAATCCCCCAAGTATTCTTGCTGCAGAACCTTTGCTGTCTACAAAAAGTAGGACTTACGATATAAGAGATAGCTTGTATATCAAGAATGATATTAGAGGTAGTCTCTTAATTAAGAAGTCAGCAGGAGGAATCCAATCCCCCATGTATTATTGCTGCAAAACCTCGGCTGCCTAGACCAACTAATAGAAATTTACGAAAGGTATATCCAGCATATGATACAGGTCCACATACAACACTCCCCGCCAAACCTACCAAACTTACTCCTAGGAATCTTTGGCTACAGCCTAATCAGAGTACCTGATTTCTTAAATGGGAATTTTTAAACAGATCATGATTAGCACATTTTACTCAACGAACTATGTTACTGCTCCAACAACATTGAGGATGTAGGGGGGCTTTTCGTGCCCCAAGTATTATTTTTATATTTTACGAATATTTATAAAAATCCATTGTTTCACCCCCTGATTCTTTCAACAATAAAAAATGCGAAGGATTTTTGTGAATCTTGTTTAGAATTTAAAATTTGATGGAAGTTTTGAACGTTCTCATTCCAGATTTAATGACAAGAATTGTTGGATTCATAGTTTCTTATTTTCTTTTTATTTAAGCATTTGAATAAGAAGGGGTTTGACATCGAATATATTAATAAGAAATCTTCAATACAAACATTTCTACTCACATTTCTAAACTAAATATCACAGTTTGGTTTGGAACGTATCAAACTTTTTTTGGTTTGTGAAAAAATCAATTTAATTAAAAAAATGAAAAATGCAAATTGTTGTATTTTTGTGGTTTTTTCTTTGGACCACCCTAATATAAATAGGTATAAACAAAATTATTTTTTTGTATTTATTTGTGTTCACTACGTCGTCACATGAAAAAACACACGAATTTTTGTTGAAGCTAGGTAGGTAGGTATTTTTTTTTTTTTTTTTGTTATTGGATTTTTGCTCGATCACTTTCACTTCGTTGAATGAATTAAGAAAAAACTGAACACGGAACTTGGCATTGCACTAAAAAGATTGACAAGAATTTATTGGATTTTTTGTGAGGGGAACAACAAACATAGATTGGCAGAATAATTTAAACATTTTTTAGATTAGATTTAGCTGGATACTTTTTGAATTTTATTTTTCAATTTCTAATTTTTATTTCAATATTTTTTAAACTTTTTTCTACTATTCACAGACGAAAACCGAAATAGGTATTACATTTACACGTTTTTTCAACTCGGCAGATACGGAGAGAGGTGCTTTCTAACTCTTACACAGCTTTGCGCGATTGCAAACAAACCAAAAACACTTAATTTTTTTTTTGTTATAACGAAACAAAAAATAATAATAAAAAGCCCGTAAAAAACACGGCAAGAAAACAAAAAAACTGTGAACTCTTCGTCGTCGTATGCCCGCAAATGAAAAGCGCCTCGATCAACGGACAATAAAACAAAACACACATATGCAGTTGTGTGTCTAAACGAGTGTGTGTGTTTTACTGAAACACCGAAAAAAAGTTAAAGAGCAGCGGCCAAATTTCAACTAAACAACCAAAAAACAAGCAAATA